TTTTATCAGAAATTTTAGATTTTTTTTAAATAGAAAATTCAATACTTCGCATTCAATAAACTTCAATGAAAATTTATTTTTCAAATAATTTTTAATATAAATTTTAATTGTTACCTGTTTAATAGTTTTAAGAGACTATTTTTAATTATTCTAAAATTTCATTTCACCGAAGTCTATTATACATTGTCTTGAACGTTCAATTAACAAATATTTTTATAAATCACCTTAAACTTAATTCAAATATGAATGGAGAGGTTTGTTGATTTTTTTTTTAAATTTTAAAAGCATAATACCTAATTTAAAATAATTCTTTCACCTTTAAAATGTAAAAAAAATTTAACATTTTTGTGAACTATATAAAGTATTTGCTTTTCATAAGAAAAAAAATAAAATAGGTACAAATTATTATTTAAAAGAACTAATTAGCTCTAATTCATGTAAAATACTAAATCGTACAAAATTTTAATGAAAAAGTCTGTCATTAGAAAATATTTTTTAGTTTTTTATATTATTTTAACGTCTATATAAACATAAACAATTTTATAAAAATAATTGAAATAACTGTTTATAATGAAACGCTAATAAGATTATGCGTAGTTACCAAAAGCTTATTTATAATTCAAAGTGCTTATATGATTTATCTTATTGTTAAAAAAAACGCAATTAGTAAAATATCAACTATTTAATCACTATATGTTTAACACACAAGTTTAGCCTTCACGATAAGTTAAAACTACATATTTCATTAACTTATTTTGAGTTATTGTTGAATATTAAGCAATTAATACTCAAAATATATTAAATAACTCATTTTTATCTTAAATAAATTATTTTATTTCTTGATAACTACCAAAAAATATTGAAAAATCATCTTTGAAGTGTATCATATTAAATAATTAAAAAAAAATCACTTAAAATGTCTCAAGAATCTTACTTGAATCTGTAGTTTAAAAAATTATGCATGGTAGCTTGAGTTCTCAAAATAAAACCCATTTACGCAACTCTAGAGAATCATAAATTAGAAACTCTAGAAATATAAGTAAATTCTACGAAAATAAATGTCAATTTCAGAATTGCAATTTTAACCAATTTTTTAAAAAAAAATTCAAGTAATAACTTACAAATATTTTGCAATGTTTTATTTTAAAAAATATAAGAATATACACAAAATATAATTCTTGTTTTTGTTTTTATTTCAGTAAAATTGCCTATTTATCAATTTGAATTTCATATTTACCTTGCTGCGAAAAACTTTTAATGCTACAGCGTGTATCCTATCGTATGTATTTTGAAAATACATCTTTTCTTTATTAAAGCCTCGGTTTAAAGTTTAAAACCGATTCACATAATTCTAAATAAATCATAAATTTAAAAATAATTAACAGTCAAAGTAAAAATCAATACAGATTAATTTTAGGAATTCAATTTCTACCACTTCATCACAAAAATACAAAATAAAACTTAGATATATAAATGTTCTTTAACATTTCATTTCAAAAAATATTACGATATTCTCAAAATTCTTATAATTTTTTCCCCTGTAGGCTATTTATTTTCATTTTATCTTAACCCGATTGCAAGGAACATTAAATACTACTGAGCGCAGTAAATATTACATATCTTCCGAATTAAAACGCTTTTTTTTCTTTTTTATTATAGTTGAGGAGTATATTTTTCGAAAAAGAAATTCTTTCAACAATCCCATTCGCGTAGAACGATATTCTCAAAGCAATACCCCCTCAACCAAATCGCGAAGTATTCCCGGGTTTTCTGTAAAACCTGATTTCCCGCAATAAGACTTACTCTGCAGAGAAACAACCCAACAGGGGAGAGTCCTTTTCCGACAATCTAAGCAGACTCTCGCCTTTTCCTTCAACTAAAGCGAAGCATTTGAGGATCGTTTGATTAGAGTGCCCTCGTCGGGGAGGGCAGGATAAAGGGGGCCAAGTGGATGGGGGGTTTCTAAGGGATTTTCCCCAGTTCCTTCCTCGTAATCCTGCTTAACTGGGGCACCTGCTGCCTTAGAAGGGATGGGGGTATCAGAAGCAGAGACTGATTCATACGTCACGCTGTCTGACAACTGGAGGACCCCTTTCCATCAACCCCCTGGCCGCCCCCTCATATACATTACCCTTTGCTGCCGCTGTGGTGTGGTGGTTTTATTATCCGTTAATTACATTAAGTGGATAGGATTATTCGTGGGTTGGACCTTTTGATGGGACAATGTCTTGATTCTTTGTGGATTTAAGATAAGCTTCCTGATGAGGAAATAATCAGGAATGAATACTTTTCGTACCTTTAAATGGATTCTTTTTGTTGAACAAAATTCTTCAGTATTTATAGTTTTAGTATCTTTTTTCTGGTTAACGTAGAATAAGCTGAGTCATATTAACGTTTTTAAAGATTTATTAGTTTTATATTATGAAGTTGACATTTATTATTTTCAAACTTGTGTGAAATTAAAATTAAAATCTTGTTTCTTTGTAGATTTAAGATAAGCTTCCTGATGAGGAAATAATCAGGAATGAATACTTTTCGTACCTTTAAATGGATTCTTTTTGTTGAACAAAATTCTTCAGTATTTATAGTTTTAGTATCTTTTTTCTGGTTAGCGTAGAATAAGCTGAGTCATATTAACGTTTTTAAAAATGTATTAGTTTTAAATGAAGTTGTCATTTATTATTTTCAATCTTGTGTGAAATTAAAATCTGTTGTACAAAATTATTTACCAATTATAGTTTTGGTATTTCTTTCTGAGTTGCATAGAATTAATGGAGCTATATTTACATTTCTAAACATTTATCAATTTTGTCTTAAGTTGCCATTTATTATTTTCAATCGAGAGCCAAATTTAAATTTGTTGCGCAAAGCTATTTCGTATTTATAATTTCGACCTCCCTTTTTGAATAACTTTGTACATCAGAACCTAAATAGATTTAACATTTTTAAATGTTTATTAGTTTTGTTTAAAGTTGTCTATTATTATTTTCAATCTAGTATAAAATTTAAATTTTTCGCTTAAAATTATTTAATATTTTTAGTTTCAGTGTCTCATTCTGACTTACGTAGAAATGGCTGATGCCTACTTATGTTTTTAAATATTATCAATTTTATTAATGGTTATCTTTTATTATTTTCAATCTTGTGTAAAATTTAAATATTTAAGTTTACATTTTAATAATTATTCTTTAATGAAAAAAATTTCTCAGGATCTTGTTATCATGGGAAACATTTGATTAGTTTGAACTTCAAAAGGTCTTTTTTTCAGTTGTTATTTATTTATTTTAATTTTTTTGTATACAATTATCGATTATTTTTAGTCTTGATGTCTTTTCCTGAAATTGATGCATCTTACTCGGAAACTTTGAATTGATGGAGCTTGCGTTTTTTTTTTTTTTAATTCATCAGTTTTACTAGAATTTATTATCCATATAATTTCCATTTTGTAACAAAATGAATCATAAGAAAAGTTCAAAGTAGGTTTTCTGAAGTGAAGAACATTTTACCGGGCCAAACCTGAGTAAGTGTATTTTTCTTATAAAATCAGTTAATTTCTTTACGGCGATATTAATTTATCAGTTAATTTAATTTATCAGTTTAACTAACGGCTTTTAAATTTATTTTTAGAATTAGTTTTACTTGAAAAATCGCTTCCTAGATTAGATCAGATTGAATTAATTTAGTGGTAAAAAAGAGTTTTTTTTCAACTACAGATATTTTTTTTAATGAAATGATAAAATAAATAAAATGTTTAAAGAATGTTCAAAAATAAAACAAATTCATTGAATTTTGAATTTAAAAACAATTTTTATGAATAATATAACACATCCTGCCACTTGTCTTACATGGTAATTTTGGAGCGTTTCTGTTGTATTATGTAATATTATAAGACAATTCATTTCCTAAAAAAATAATTTTAAAATGACAAATTAAAATTTTTGTTAAGAGTTCAGCAAAATACCAAAAGAATATAATTCAAAAATGTTATACATGAGATACTGATAAACGTTTTTCTTACGAATTTTGGAAACAAAGTTTTTTTCTTTAAAAATCCATTGAAACTTTTATTTAGAAAATAGACCAGGTCTTATGTATAAGTATTAGTCATGTTCTAGTTACAGTAATAACTAATTAATATTTTAACAGAAAAATGATTTTAAAATATATCAAATTGGCTCAGAATGTAATTTTTACGAAGTTAACTTCAATTACATAGTGCGAATTAAATCTAATCAGTGTTACTTTTTCGAAAGAACATTTTATTTTTTATCACAAGGCTACGAATTGGAGAAAATAATATTGTTATTTTTAAGCATTTCTTTAAGTTTAGAAAACTGAAAATCCCTTTACACTTCAGAAGTATGTCACAAGAAAATTTTGAAACAAAAATATTGCTACTTAAATATTGTATTGCAGAAAACATGAAAAGAGCGCAAGAATATGAGATTTTCTCCATCCGTACCTTTAATCCGTACTCTTAATTTAAATATATATGTATATGTATTACGTTTAATTTAATGACACCAAAAAATTTTTAATTTTAGAAATTAACATAATTTTTAACATAAGTTTTTGATAATTATGCAACTTAATATCAAAAGGCATTTAATTTCGTTTTTGAAGTTCATAATCATTTAAAAAAATATTAGTTTTAATCAAAAAATATTAGCTAGTTAGGATTTTAAATTTTCGACACGTATGGAGCTTATATATCTGGAATATTTAGCAATTTTATTTCCAAATTTCACTTCTTTTTGTATCATAGATTTTTTTACTGATACTTAATGACATTTTTCTTAAAATTTGTTCGATATCTATTTACATGAATTTCAATTAGAAAACCGTTATGTTAAATGTTACACAAAATTTAATATGTCCTCCTAAAACAAGTATTTGCTTATATTTGATAAGGGTACTTTAAAGAATTGTGTGTTAAAAGGAAAATATGAAATTAAACGATTAATTTTAATATCGTACTAAATTGAGCCACATCTCTCTCATTTTAAGCTTCATTACTACATGGAACATTACTAATACTATGGTTCAAATTAAATGGAAACATTGTTTTATTTAACACCTTATTAAATTCGCACAATATTATTGTTCAAAGTACCAATATCATGGTTAAACGTTCGACTGATTTTCTCTAGATAATATCAAACATGGTTCTGACTTAACAACATACAGAATAAGGGCAAGAATATCGATACAGTACTAAAATGCATACCTGCCAGTCGGAGAGCAGACATTCTCTGAAATTCTGGTTCTTCTAGCCACTTGTACATTCTGCGGAATGTCTCCCTTCCTGACTTGAGCTTGCTCCAAGGTTTTGGGTTCCTTAGGAGATCTGACAGTGTTCCCTGCGATCTGCACAGAACTCTTTGCGCGAAGATCGCCTGTGGTATGCTGTACCGCTTCAGTTCAGCGCTGATCCTCTGTGCCAGTTCCTTGGTGTTGATCTCCTCCACTTCTTCAGCAGAATTCACTTTCTGCTGCTGGTGCATGGACAGTTTACCACCACCACCATGGTGACTAACCGTGCTTACCATCGACACCATGGAACCATTCATAGAGTTCGGCACCGACGCCTGAATCGGGGCGCTTGGCTGTGTAAGGGGTATGCCCCCCGGTGTGGTTGGGGTTGGAGTCGGGGCAGCTCCTGTTAAACTATTAACTGTTGGTACTGGGGTGGGGGACGTTAAGGTTGTCGCGGCAGGCTTTACGTCCCTGATGGATGCAGGAGACTGGAGATGGTGACCTGACGTTTGATGACCCATATGAGTGCCGTTCATAGTCAGTCCATTAAGAGAGGACATCATGGACGATGGACTGACTGTCGGACTTTGAGGACTGACCAGGCCTCTCGTCAGATCCCTGTGAGCGTATGAATCATAGCCGTTTGGAGACATATTTTTTTCTGGAGAGTGAAGACCATTTTGTGAATAAGGTGACGATATTCCGCCTTGTTGCTGACCAAGTCCATTAGCGGCGGTCATCATCGCTGACATAGACGGGTGAGGATTCATGTTCATGCCAGCCATGCTCCCAAGTTTCTCATATTGATGATAACTATTAGCCATGTGCCCTGCCATGCCGAGATTGTTTTGCATGAGAGTAAAGCCACCACCGACATTACCCGCATGGTGATGTCCGTAATGATGCGTGAACTTGTCGGACATCGTCGATATGGGTGGCAGAGGCTGTAAAGGCGTCAAAGTCGCATAGCTGTTAGCCTGGACAGCGGTCGCAAAACCCGGCGGAGACATACGACCATTTAAAGTCTGATAGGTAGGCTCGGCAAGCGCCCGAAAATCGGACGCGTCTAGCATATTCATTCAGATGATTAAAATTGCACTTCAAACACCGATAAAAGAGTTGTCGATGGAACGTTGCGTCGGAACCTTTCTTACGCGCTGTTTCAGCTTCGAACTGATGTTTGGAAACCACGAGGTGTTCGCGCCCACTGATTGTCTGGGCCCTTCCTACCAAACACCTGATTTGTCCACTGCTCACTCGTGTGTTTCGCACCGTTTTGATGGCGATGGCACGCGGACACACCTCCGTGCTTCGGCCATTGAGTAATACTTTGCTATCATTCGCTGGGCGGAGCTCCGCCCTTCACGGACCACCCTTCGCGCTTGCGCTCCCAGGTAAGTCTCCTTTCTCCCTGCGTGCTCCCCCTAACAGAGGGCGCTGCATTTTATAGATGATGAAAGATAAGTTTCGGTTTCGGTATTCCCCTTTCCACTTCGGACGAATAGAAAGCCAGGTGGCTCTTAGATCAGCGTGGCACCACATTTAAATTTGGTAAAAGAAACTATTCGGGAAAATGATCAGATTAAATAGAATACTTATCTCACTTTTCATTAATTTTGGAGATTTTAAAATATTTTCATGACGTTTGTGAATGTTTTATAAATGTGAATGTTATGTCTATTAATTAAAAGTCAAACTACTAATGAAGTTACTATATGTGTTTCAATCAAAAATCGCATACTTCAATTTTTACAACAAAAAAAAAGTTTAGATTCTAAATAGTTAGATTTTTTTATTATAGCTGTATTAAAAGTTTTTTATGAATTCTCATTAACTCTTTATGCCTAATGCAGTGCCGCAATGTGGCTTTTAGATTACCGAACTTCTCGATAAATCATTCAAGTCAAGCTCCTCCAAAAAATAATAATTCAAAAGTAAAAAGCCATTATTTTAAAAAAGTTAAATTTGCTCTTTTAAAAAATTTCCTCAGAATTGAATTGCCTCTTTCTTTCTTTTTTTTAATTGCAACGAAGACAAAAATTCAAAGGCTTGCAAAAACTGCAAACTTCGTTAATTGGAATATATAGTTTACTTTTCATAAAATACTTTGTGCTAAATATTTATGCGTAGAAAAATTGACAAAAAAACTTATTTAATCCTTTTAAAATAACGAAATTATTTTTACATTAATTTATTAAAATAAAAATCCGTTGCCCTAGCTACCACTATGAAAAATATTGTTTGAAAATGCGGAAAATTCATAACAGTTAAGTTTCTAGGTTTGAAAATGAGACGGGAAAGAAAACAATGTCTAACCATTTTATTTGTAGCTATTTTTGGGGAGGGAAAAAATTCACTTTTCATTACTGTTTACTTTGCATCAGGAAAGAAGAAGAATCTATGTTAAAACATCTTGGCAGTAAAGAATATTTTATTCGATTAGAAAAAAGCTAGAAGCAAAAGTCTTTCTAACCACTTTAGCATATCTTTTTGTCTTGATATATATACACTTTCAGCCTTGGGAGTCTCTGTTTGTTACATTGATACCACATAAAACTGTAAAAAGTTAGGAAAGTTGTAAAAGTTTGAGTTAGTAAAAGCAAAAATTCGTAAAAAGAGATTAAAATTAACTACTTTTTCTCGCATATTTCGTTCAGTTTACTTATAAAACGGAATGTATGGAATATTTTCGTTTTAAATATGCATATTTTACAAAGTACAGTACGCAAAAAAAGTTTTAAAAAATTAGCCACTCTGAATAACTTTTGATAAAATCATTGGATTTTCACTTTCTAGGACTCAATCTCAATGGATGTTGAATCCGAGAAATTGTATTTTAAGAAGACGTATAATTAAATTTATATTCTTCATAAACTATTATAAACTAACCGATTTTACACAAGTTTTGTACTTTACAATAGCATTTTTTAAAATAATGTCGAAAATTGCATACCTTACAATTCAAACTTTTTATCTACTATTATTAAATAAAATAATAAAGAAATAGCAAAGATTTAATAAAATAAAAAAAATAAATTGCATGGAATTCTCTTTGGATAAACGAATTTTATAATTCTATGCAAAAGTTTTTCAATTCTCCTGAAATCTATAAAATAAACAAGCAAAGAAAACACAAAAGCGGCGTGAAACAAATGGTGCGAAAATATGGCGAAATACGCAAAAAAAAAAATTAACATTGAGGGGTCCAAATTTTGGATCGCTGTCTTTACCAAACTATTAAGACCATATTTCCCAAATTGTTGCATTTACAGCCGCGATGGCTCTGGGGAAAGAGCATTCACCTTCCAATGAGGCGAACCGGGTTCGAATCCCAGTTGATACGAATTCCGCATCTAGCTTGCACCAACCACTGTGCTGATGTGAAATATCCTCAGTGGTATACCTGTGGGAGGTTCTCGTGATCTTCCTCTCCGTGTAACGCAAATGTGTGTCAGTTTCATCGAAAAGTCCTCTACGAAGGCAAATTTCTCCCAATACTTGATTCTGGAGTTCAACAGATATACAAGATTTGTTCTCTAGTTGTAGGAAATTAAAGTGATATGTTTGTTATTACTACACTTACACCTCAGTAAAAAAGAAATTATAGTTTTTATATATAAGAGAGTGATTTTTCTGCCAACAGGATTGTTTAATCTTAAATTACATTTAAAAAAATGATTTAAATTTTAAAAAAAATTAAAGAACACATTTTAAAAAAACTTTTTTTAAATATTTGCATAGGTATTCAGTATTTATGGGTGATAATAAAAAATGAAATTAATTATACCTTTTAACTAGTACATTTTAATTGCATGCTTAAATTTATTAGCTTAACATCTTAATTAAATGCTTAGCGCCGGCTTCCGGGGCCTACGCTAAGCCATCACCTCCTACATTAAAAAGCCTCCACGCGGTCTTTTATAAGTAGTCTGCGCAGACTGTTTACAAAGTGAGCCAGTTGTGCGCATGAACCCAAATTTTATTTTAAAAGGACTTGAGAGAAATTAATCATATATATTTGAGAATTGAATCTGCAGTGGTTGACAAGTGAATAAGGCAAACCAATAATATTCAGAAATAAAACAAATTTTTAGTTAGATATTTGCTACCACTTTCTTATTTTAGCTAGATTTTGTATTAAGTAACTCGTTCGGAAAGTGGATATCCTTCACAGTGGTCTGATCGGACTACCTATAAAAAACCGTGTGGAGGCTTTCAATTATAGGAAGCGTTGGCTAAGCGTTTGCCACCTTGCAAAACGCCATAAAGTCGTAAATTTGGCGAATAAAATTGAGTTTTGACAAAGGTGTAGGCGAATGGTTTTTTCTACTTTAAAGAAAAAAATATATTTAATGCGATCCTCAAAACTACGTCAAAATGTTTCTAAGCAAATCAGCTGATTTTTTTTATTCAATTACTGTGATTCGATTTTCGGTAGATGCGCCGCATAATCAGTTAAAATTGGGTCCAAATAATATAAGCCTCACCTAAAGTACCGTAAAGTAGTTTTCTATGAGGAAAAAATTAAACATAAAAAATTAATAAGATCTGCAGATGGCGAATACTTTCGAAAATTGGCGAACACTTTTCATATTTTGCTATTTTACTGGCTAATAATTTGAAGGCCCTGATAATCTATATATTGATTATATTTTTAAAAACATTGGATTTAATGACTAATATGAATGCTAAACAGCCTTAAAAAATTAAGATGATACCACGTAAACAAGCAAATGCTAGTTTTGATTCAGATAAAAAAACCTTCATGAGTGCCTTCCCAGACACAAAATGTCATTCATAGTAGAAATTAGTTCTTCATTCAAAAAAGTAATTGCGATATTGTTAAATAAAATAAGATTTTGCTCTTTTTTTTTTGTTAATAATATTAGCATATGTATTCAGTAGTAATGATGAACGATAAAAAAAAAATTCGATTATAATTAATCGAATATATTAGTTATAATAAAAATTATAATCATTTAAAATTTTGATCATATTTATACATTGATTAATTGTTGAATACTAGTACCGTCCCTTTATAATATGCATGTTTACTATTTATTTAAAATCATTCTATTTAATTACTGTTACGAACAAAGATAAACAATGATAAAAACGGAAAATATTACCTACTCAAATCAGGGGTTAAAGAGAGACAGAAAAGAAGAAAAGCTGTTAGTAAAGCATTTCAGTCAGAGACAGCTTTTAGAAGGAGTAAATCTAGTTCTTTCTCTAAATTGTTCAACATTTAATTTTTACGGTTTATTATAATTACATACATCTGCAGGATTGCGTGCCCAATTTAGGCTTATAAATCTTTATCAAATAGAAGGACAGCACAAACACAAAGATACATTCACATACCTGCCAAGTCTTCCGGATTTTACTCAAGATTTTAATTTCATATTTAAAGTGGTAGTAATTATGTACTATTTTTTCTTTTATAATCTTAATTTTTAAATGATATTGATCACCACTATTCTTACAAAAATTAAGCACATACATTAATATGCGTTACTATCATGGTTGTCAACTTAAGTTTTCTCAAATACAACGTATTTGTTTGCTTAAAATTAAAGTTTTAATTCCATTTTAATACCACTGGGAAAAATGATAATAGAAGGGATAAAAAGTTGGCAGGTATACATCCAGGGTAACAACGGGATTCGAACCCGCTACCTATACGCTTTGCCCAGTATTTGGCTGGCAATTCCGCTTATCCAGCAAGGCCCCTTAATTTTAACGGGATAGAAGCACTTTTATATATTTGCTATAATTAGAAGAAAAAAATCTTGTTAGGGTAGTTAGAGAAAAAAAAATTTCTACAAAAAATGCCAGAGTGAAATGTTTATATATAT